TATATATGTATATATATGTATATATGTATATATATGTATATATGTATATATATGTATATATGTATATATATGTATATATATATATATCAACTATGAATTATCAAGTCTGAGATTATGATATGTTACCTTGTAATGCTAAGTGTGAGATCATGGGATGAGATGTTACATATTTCATTTCTGATTTTTATTTTTTAAAAGAATATTTAACTAATATTTGGCATATTAAAAGAGTGGTAGAGACGGGAATAGAAGTATGCTCGTAACAAAAACATTTAATGTGATGGTATTCAAAAAAGATCTAGAGGGTTCAATTTTTATGATCTTATAAGTCAATTTTTTGTAAGAAAAACGTATAGTTTGTTGATTTGTAAAAGGAAGTGTAGTTAATGAATTTATATTTAAAGAGTACTATTTTAATACTTCCACAAGAATTTTTACAATGTTCAGATCTTTTACCCAATTTTAATTTATTTAAACTTTAAATTTTTTATGATTTAAGCAGCATCTAAAAGAATTAAGTACCTTAACATTATATTCCATAAAAAATTCATATTACACATCTATATCTTGAGATATTATTTATTTGTATTAATACACATAAGAATTCATGAATGTACTTATGATAAATATATTTGACCTTATATTGATATGATTATTAGATTTAATTGATCAAAATGGGATTTAGTAAATTATATAATTATAAGTTTATATATTTGTGATAGAAAAAAAAGATTCATTATTGTTTTAAGTTATGAGTTAGAGTGAAAACGAGGAAACGTGTTCCCGAAGGTTCGTGCATTGTCCGCGCAAATCACCGTTCAATTTCAAAAACCATAATTCCGCATCGTAACAGCGTATTATGTGGCGTCATCATCGCAGTAAAATTTTGCGGTGGCGGAAAGTCAAAGTCCGTAGTCAAAAAGTCAACACACGTTTAAAAAAAAAACAAAACACCTAAAGAACTTAATTTTCCCTCTCGCTTCCTCGTAATATCAGATGTAACAAGCTCCATTACTATACAACAAACTTCACCCCGACAACAAATCATAACATAATCATAATTATTAGTTATATAACACTTATATTAACTCAGTATTTTCCTACTATGGGTTAAGCTCGGTTATAATGTTAGAGATTACAGTTATATGTTACGAAAAACTTCGTGTTATGAAGACTTATTTGATGTTTCGTTACATCGATTCAACATAAGGTCAATTCATAATTTATAATAGATATAAATCTTATTTTATAAGTCAGTTTTGTATGGTTGAATTAGGCTTAAAGTTTATTTCTAACATGTTATAAGAGTCATGATTAAAATTTATCATACAAATCTCATCTTACAAATCGATTTTGTGGGATTGAGTTACACTTAAAGTTCACTTATAAAATCTTAAAGTGTTGCACCACCAAGATGGCAAAGACAGTGGCGGCACCGAAAGGAGTCTGTTTTCGTGGAACTAGAAAGAAATTAATGGTGGACATGCCTCTGCATGCACGCTCCATCACGTACGAGGTTCAAAGCAACAGATTCAAGGCTCTTCGACCTGTTGGGGTGGCCAGAATCGCACTTTCCGATTTTCTTACGCCGGAAAATTCTGTGCACGTCTTTAGTTACCGGTTGAGGGACTGGGAAGGGAAGAGAAACGGGGTGATCTATTTCGCGGTTAGAGTGGCGGTTCCGGAACCGCTGAGTAAGAATTCCGGCGATGAGTTCGTGGAAATTGAACATTCTGATGAAGTTGTTGTTGGTGTTTATCAAGAATTGAATGATGAACTCTTACAAAGATTAAGGTCTACATAGTACATGCATGCATACAGCTAAACTGATAAAGCTCTGTCGGCTGAATATGGTAGTCCTTTTTTCTTTATAACCACGTAAATAGAATGGATAATGATATCTTAATAGAGATTTTTTTATAATATTTTAATATAATGTATCTGTTATTTTTTATTGAGATTAAAAAATATCAACAAAATAATAAATAAATAATAAACTAATAAAAAATAATAATTGTGTTGTCTCAAATATATTTTACATTTTTCCTAATAAAATCCATCTAAGGGTCCACGGATTTGAGATTAAACTGAGGAAAACAGGTGAAAATGGATTCATCTTTTCTTTATACTTTCCTTTCTTGTACAAAGAAAACCAGCGAAACCTGTCACATGAAAATATTAGTTTTACATAATTTGATATATGTAATATAATAATATTATTAAATAGGTTTAATCATTCACTAAGTCCCTATTTTCGCATGGAATCTCAATTTCGTCCCTTTCTTTCTGAAAATATCAATTGGGTCCCAATTTTATGAAAATTGCAACAAATCGATCCTTTCCGTTAAATAGTGTCAAACGGCGTTAAAAAAATTTATGAGTGGATGCTGAGATGACGAACGAACGCTCGTCCACCAGCGAACGAACGCTCGTCGACCACCGAACGAACGGTCGTCCAGTGTGGAACAAACGGTCGTCCAGCAGTAAGAGGTCCACGAGCGTTCGTTCGCTGGTGGACGAGCGTTCGTTCGCTGGTGAACGAGCGTTTGTTCGCTGGTGGACGAGCGTTCGTTCGTCATCACAGCATCCACTCATCAATTTTTTTAACGCCGTCCAGCCAATTTAACGGAAAGGATCGATTTGTTGCAATTTTCATAAAATTGGGACCCAATTGATATTTTCAGAAAGAAAGGGACGAAATTGAGATTCCATGCGAAAATAGGGACTTAGTGAATGATTAAACCTATTTAATAATATTATTATATTACATATATCAAATTATGTAAAACTAATATTTTCATGTGACAGGTTTCGCTGGTTTTCTTTGTACAAGAAAGGAAAGTATAAAGAAAAGATGAATCCATTTTCACCTGTTTTCCTCAGTTTAATCTCAAATCCGTGGACCCTTAGATGGATTTTATTAGGAAAAATGTAAAATATATTTGAGACAACACAATTATTATTTTTTATTAGTTTATTATTTATTTATTATTTTGTTGATATTTTTTAATCTCAATAAAAAATAACAGATACATTATATTAAAATATTATAAAAAAATCTCTATTAAGATATCATTATCCATTCTATTTACGTGGTTATAAAGAAAAAAGGACTACCATATTCAGCCGACAGAGCTTTATCAGTTTAGCTGTATGCATGCATGTACTATGTAGACCTTAATCTTTGTAAGAGTTCATCATTCAATTCTTGATAAACACCAACAACAACTTCATCAGAATGTTCAATTTCCACGAACTCATCGCCGGAATTCTTACTCACCACCATCCCCTTCAGCGGTTCCGGAACCGCCACTCTAACCGCGAAATAGATCACCCCGTTTCTCTTCCCTTCCCAGTCCCTCAACCGGTAACTAAAGACGTGCACAGAATTTTCCGGCGTAAGAAAATCGGAAAGTGCGATTCTGGCCACCCCAACAGGTCGAAGAGCCTTGAATCTGTTGCTTTGAACCTCGTACGTGATGGAGCGTGCATGCAGAGGCATGTCCACCATTAATTTCTTTCTAGTTCCACGAAAACAGACTCCTTTCGGTGCCGCCACTGTCTTTGCCATCTTGGTGGTGCAACACTTTAAGATTTTATAAGTGAACTTTAAGTGTAACTCAATCCCACAAAATCGATTTGTAAGATGAGATTTGTATGATAAATTTTAATCATGACTCTTATAACATGTTAGAAATAAACTTTAAGCCTAATTCAACCATACAAAACTGACTTATAAAATAAGATTTATATCTATTATAAATTATGAATTGACCTTATGTTGAATCGATGTAACAAAACATCAAATAAGTCTTCATAACACGAAGTTTTTCGTAACATATAACTGTAATCTCTAACATTATAACCGAGCTTAACCCATAGTAGGAAAATACTGAGTTAATATAAGTGTTATATAACTAATAATTATGATTATGTTATGATTTGTTGTCGGGGTGAAGTTTGTTGTATAGTAATGGAGCTTGTTACATCTGATATTACGAGGAAGCGAGAGGGAAAATTAAGTTCTTTAGGTGTTTTGTTTTTTTTTTAAACGTGTGTTGACTTTTTGACTACGGACTTTGACTTTCCGCCACCGCAAAATTTTACTGCGATGATGACGCCACATAATACGCTGTTACGATGCGGAATTATGGTTTTTGAAATTGAACGGTGATTTGCGCGGACAATGCACGAACCTTCGGGAACACGTTTCCTCGTTTTCACTCTAACTCATAACTTAAAACAATAATGAATCTTTTTTTTCTATCACAAATATATAAACTTATAATTATATAATTTACTAAATCCCATTTTGATCAATTAAATCTAATAATCATATCAATATAAGGTCAAATATATTTATCATAAGTACATTCATGAATTCTTATGTGTATTAATACAAATAAATAATATCTCAAGATATAGATGTGTAATATGAATTTTTTATGGAATATAATGTTAAGGTACTTAATTCTTTTAGATGCTGCTTAAATCATAAAAAATTTAAAGTTTAAATAAATTAAAATTGGGTAAAAGATCTGAACATTGTAAAAATTCTTGTGGAAGTATTAAAATAGTACTCTTTAAATATAAATTCATTAACTACACTTCCTTTTACAAATCAACAAACTATACGTTTTTCTTACAAAAAATTGACTTATAAGATCATAAAAATTGAACCCTCTAGAT